ATGATTTTTTTTGAAAATTTTGATGTACTTAATTCAAAATTCAAACGAGCAGTTTCTCAGTTATCAAAACTTTTTTTTATTGATCTTAGTTCCATCGACGTATGTAGGCCAACAGTTCTAATTTACATTGTAATTAAATATACTTTACATTGTAGTTACATTTATATTATATATTAGTTAGTCCTTATTTTAAGTTGTATAATTCTATTTTCCTTAGGAAGTTGATGGTGTTGATATGTGATTGGCGGTCTGGATTTAGGGCTTTTCCTAGTAGATTGTATGTATGTGGTGTTTATTTCTCGAGTTTTCGAACTTCAGGCATTCTGATATTAGTTATTATGTGTTTGACTCTGTTTTCCACTTCACATAATTTACGTATTATAGGGGGATCGTTTCTGGCCAATATTAAAACTTTATAACCAAGGATAATAGACATTAAAAAATATGGTTTTACAAAAGTATGAAATATAATAGAATATAATGTTGGGTTTAGTATTTATTATACTTGAATCATTTTTACATAATATTATTATAAATGTTGATAGATTAATATTAACTACTAAAATGTTCAATTCCCCATAGCCCCCATAGGAACCTTCCAAACCCATTTATCATGGACCTTTTATCCTTAATATACAAGGTTATAATAACTGAAAAACTACTCGTTCAGATTTTGATTTTGTTACGTCAAAATTTTCAGAAAAATTATCCGCTGAATAATTCGCAGTGAAAAACGAAACAAAAGGTTGTTTATCCAAAAGGGTCACTCCTTAAGTAGTACGAACAATCTCAAGAATTTTAAAATACGGTCCTAATGTATATTTAAAAATTCCAAAAATTTGGATTTCGAATTTCTGCATTATAGAAAAAATAAAAAGGAGTGATCGTACGAAATTAATCGCCTTACATACAGAATGGACGGCGGTGTTATATTATATTATGCCGTACCTATGAACCGTAAGTCCAAATTATCGTAAATACGTATCACGATTTCGGTACTTTATCAATAAATTTCATTTCTCTCGATGAGTTGGTAAAATACTAAAGTGTGACACCTCGACCAGAGATATTAATGGCAACAGACAAACACCAAACTGGTGTCTGGTGCATAGTTGTGGCACTGTGCCATATTTAATAACGAGTAAATATAATATTGTTCGTCGTCCCCAAATTGTCACATCAGCAAATATTATATTTCTCGAGTCGTTTCGGCTTCTGTCAACATCAGGTAGAGTCACTCTCATGCTGTCTTCAACATTCGCTGGGAGAAGTCATTAGGATAAAACTCATTATCAACTGATAGTCGTACATTCATATTAACGTAAATCGACTAAAATTATAGTACATTGTACAAAGAGATAACAACAATTAATGAAATTCAACAGTTTTACGTATTTGCCCGTGAAAAATATTTGTGCAATGATAACATGAAAATAGTAAATCTTTGAAAGGCCACCTATTTTTCGATTCTTAGATTGAAATGTTAACTAAAAGATAACACTTTTTAAACAATTTTGAATTATCATAGCATACGTGTAGTTTAACGTTTTCGTACATTATTCTATATTATTCTCATATATAATTGACACCTCTATCACCAATTGACGACAAAATACAACTATTTAGGTCAGAATACTATAATTTTTTGTGGGGATAAATTATTATACATCTACATAGTTTTGTGGTTGAATTTGTTCAAAATTTCTCCTTTAAGCGTTATTATTCTTTCTATAGAAATAAAATCTTTAAGCTCTTCGGGTCAGACAAATACATTTTATCTTTAATACAACTTCGTCACTGAATAGCTGAGTAGATGCACCTACGGTATAATATAAATACGGATTAGGTGGGTTGTCGCGAAGAAACACCAAGAAGTATGATGACGTATGCACATCATATGTGTGGTATATGCGGTATGCGGTTTACTTATAAAACGTTTTTTACTTTCTGAAGTTTATCCTCGTTTTTTTTTCTTATTTGGAAAAACAATTAACTGTTGATCTCGTATTAATGTAATTCGTTCTTTTGTTTTAGTTTAGGTATACATATACAATAAGTATAAATCTGATCCCATATAAGTGATTTCGCCGAATGAATGTGTGCGCACGCTGAAAATCTGATTATTTTTTTCGTTTTTTTTTTTATACCTTCATAATACCTTGTTACTTTGATATTATTTTTTATTTCATTCGTGATAACGATTCCAAACATTTAATACGTTTATGGCTTTTTTAGCCTTTGACGAGTGCACTGCAGCTCTTGAATAAAAAAAAACGAGTATTTTTTCCTCTTCGATGTACCCGCTGTCAAATACATAGGGTAACCTACTTAATAGATATTTTAATACCGATTTTATATTATGTAATGTATATGGTTATCTAAACCAATATATGATACGTATCAATTAATTTTTCTTTGTTCGTCTTCTGTAGACAAAAAAAAACTACTGAACCGTTTTCAATAAAAATTATATCAATAGAAACCTTTCAAGACTCGGGAGCTAGAGTTTGCAGCTTCGTTTTTCAACCCATATAGGTCGCTTTATGAGGTAACTCATCAATTATGTTTCGGTTCACGAAAATCGTGTAATTTTTTTCTGTTAATGGATATATTAATGTTCATTCATTGCGTTTGGTTACAGGTTCTAAAATAGATATTGCGATTGGATATAATTTTCTGTATTGTTATAAAATATGCATTGTATATTTTGTTATTTTTGGCTAACAATAAGCCATTATTTATAAATGTAAAATGTAGTAACGATTGTTATTATATATTAGAGGCGAAGTGTATGGTTGAGGTTTACAAACTAAGAAAATCATCGTCTGTTTTCGACAAAAAAACCACTTTGAGAATATGAGTTCAACTGAAGTAAAATGGAAACGAAGAGATAGTTAGGTTAGATTTGGAGTCTTAGGATTTAAGTTTAGATTATACTATATAGTTAACCCACACATATTATATTATTTAACTGAGACATATTTAAATCCACAGTTTTTGACCAAATTGTACACACATATTATTTGGGATTCTGGACCAAACGAAAGAATTTTAAAGAATAGAAGCCACGGAAACAGCTATTATATATTATAAAAGAAAAAATGGCTGAGGCTAATATAGAATCAAAAAATACTCGACGATTTGAGAAAGGTTTAGATAACAGATTGGACCCGTTATTTTAGGGTGAATTTTCCGCTATTAATAGTAATTTTAAAATGATTTTCTTATTATATTTCTGCTTGCAATTCATTCACGTAAGATAAAAAAAAGTTACTTATTACAACCCCCTCCGCAAGTGGATTGCTTCGGGTATTACAGCTATAGTACTGAATAAAATAAATTTATCCAAAGATACAATTTTACTATTGCAAGCATTTTTAATTTAAAAAAAAAATACATTGCTAAATATTTCGGGAAATGAGTTTAAATACTGAACAACAAATATTAATTTATCCAAGTATATAATACATCGATATTATATAATCGATTATTTGAAATCTTAGATGATAAATGGATAGTTAAATATCTTAAAAATATTTAAGCCGGCCGAGTTACAAGACAATTTGTCATGCTAACCTAATAAACTTACTATAGGCTGCTGTTATAACCGGTACGGTAAGCTTTATATATTTTCTCAGTATTTTAATTTGTCTGTACTTACAACAGTGAAAATCTCTACAAGGCATAATATTATAGCTTCTAATTTATGTTAATTTTGTAATAAACTTATGTTAATTAATACTAAATAAAAATTAATTACAGTGAAATATTAACTCATCAAATAACATAACACGAAGAAGGTATAAATAATAATAAATTATAAAAAAAATATAGTAATAAGTACCTATACCTATTGTCTGTAAAAATAGAGTAGAAGACATTTTTTTAAATTAGACAAACTAACATAAATTATATTTTTTGATAAATAAAAATGCAACACTCCCTTATAATTACATAACATTAACTTTTATATAAGCTTAAACGTTAATATTACTGACAATTGCTTTAAAAAAAACCCTAGGTTAGGGTAAGAGTATTTTAAAGGGTGCAAATAAATTTATATAATTCAAACTTTTATAAAAAACAATTAATTGTTACATTTGAAAATTAAAACTCAAAAACATTGGCGTTTCAAAACATTGTATTCGATAGCAGTAGCCAGTAGGTATACCGTGTCCGTACCTAATAGCTAATATACATTTTGAAAACATTAAACACGATTTCCACCTGAGTCTGATTAAATTATCGTATCCTTATAATTTAATAATGATATTAAAACTGGAAATTACGAAAAATACAGCTTACACCCGCCAGATTATATTATACGCACACTACGCATACGTTAATACTATACTACAACAGCCCTATAGTTAAATATCACGTTGCAAAGTTTTTTCCTTCTAAAGTGAATACTTAAATAATAGTATTAAGGGAATTCGGGGATAGAAACTGGTAACTTGATGTTCAAACCCAATTTCACAGCGTCAAATATTATTATTTAATATAGAGCTTCGAGTTTACAAAAACATTAACTCGGGAAAACACAAATAATAATTCTTTTTAATAGTACAACGTATGAACAACTAAAAAAAAATTCAAAAAACATCATTTTTTCCATAATCCGACAAGCACATGGAATGAAATATGAATAATATTATGTTTATACATTTCAACATGTCAATCCTATAATATAATATGTATACATAAATGGATGTTTGTCTGTCGGTATGTAATAATTAATAGACTCAAAAACAACTGGAACGATTTCAACCAAAACGATCGCAATATCAATTTCAAAACCCAATTCCCATAGTGTTTGGGTTTTCCACAGTGTATGGATTTCGATGAAAAATAAAACATAACAATTATTGGCTTAGACGTAAACTGCATAAAATCTTACGGTTCATGCGTAGTAATACTCAATTATTATTATACTGACTAGAGTTACTTGGTTTTTCAAATGTACAACAACAATAATTAGGTATATGCAAGCCACTTACCATGTGCCGAGGTGACGAGGTCAAGACGATTCCTGGAACCTGAAATAATAATAATTTTACTATTTAATAATATTCATTCTAATGTACATAGTAATATACTCTTTTTTATTACAAACTCATTGACCGGCTTAGTGTATATGCAATATAGGCACATTTGTGCCTAGAAGATCATTTATTCAATACAATATTCAATATTAATGTAGACACCCTTCGTCGGTAATATATATTATGTCCTATCAATTACCACGTCCGTTTCTCAGTTTGGAGTATCGACAAGTATTATTATACACATTAATACATCATTGATAATAGTCTATATAGTATATACGTAATATTATAAATGGATGTTAGTCTGTCTGTCTATATGTCTGTAATTAATATAGACTCAAAACCGTTTCAATACCGTTTGAAAAAAAAAGTTATATCAACACAATATTTGTGACTTGGAGTGTGTTTATAGCACTTTTTCAACTCTTAAAGATACCTAAACGGTAGCTCACTTACATGTGAATTTAGTTATCAGCTCAAGGAGGAGGAATATTTTTTTGTTTGTGTATACCGTACTATATAAATTATATATTAATATTAGAAGAGTTATGGAAAAATAATTTCATTACAAATATATTTTAACTAACGTATTTATTTTTATATGCCATTCAGATTAATATGTTAATCAGGGTATCCAATTAATGAAGATTGTTACACTGAGTAAAAGCAATATTATTCAAACACAAGACCAACGCCCTTTTCTGCCCCCGTCATTTTGTGCCTCAAAATAAAATTGGAAACAAAATAACGTTTTCGACATGAAAATGCGAATAGATATACATTGCACATTGAGCTTAATCGTATATATGATTTCACTTTCCTGCAACGAAAAACAAAATAAAATTATAAAAAATGAGAGAAAACGAGAATAAAATATGTCCATCGACAATAAAATAATCGTATTTTATAATGGTAGAGTTACCAATAACTATACTTTATACTGGCTTATAAATATTAAATTCGACATAAATAAACGATACGCAAACGTTGAGCATAAAAAAAATGCCCATACCAAGTTATTGTGTGCTTCGCCGCTCCTCCATTCCATCGCACGGGCTCCCCTATATTATCTTGTAAAAGTAGCAAATTATTATGAATAATTTCTATACCATTAAATGAACTTTAACTTTAAACAAATTGCATTAAATATTGTTTATACCTCATACGTTATAGTTTATAAGTTATAACTACGAAAAGTTATACAACAAAATTCGACATATACCTATATATTATTATATTGACACTAACACGATTTGCCTTGGGCAATCTAAATAAAATTTTCATTCTCGTTAATTTTTGAATATAAGATAGTATGGCAGCTAATATGCTTTACAGTAGGTTAGTTAACAGTACGAATAATATTATGTATTTTTAATTTTTAATTAATAATATTCACTACACCTGGTCGTATAAGAACCTGAGTTGTACACGGTTATGAGTTTACCTATTCCAACGATCTGATTAATTCTTTTGAACGATTTGTGATGCAAAAGTATAACTCCTAGGAAAAACATTTATTTTTAAAACCAAAATCGTTCTCCCTCGAATTATAAGGTAACATTTTTATGAATACGGTCAAAATATTAAATTCAAAGTGATAAACTTTCAAACGAAAAACGTTCGGAAAAACATTATTACAGAGTAATAATAATCAATAAAACAGAAGTTTGAATGATGGCAAACGCCGAAAGTGCCACTCATCAAGTATTTTTGTTCGAGTTATAAGTTAACTTAGTTTATCCAATTCATCTGTTAACTCAATTCGGAGTAATTTTGAACGAATTCAAGATTAGCTAGATTGTTAATTTGATGATAACTGCAGCCATGACGTATACTTAAACATTTAAGAAAAATATTCATTGTGAGAAATTTACAATAATCACAAAAAAAACTTAAGCTGAAACTAGTATACTTGTATTTGCATTGAATACCTAACATTATTTTTAATGTAACACAAATTAATGCATTTTAAGTAACTAAGATAATATAACACTTTTCTAGTTTCATGTAAGGGTTGTCTGAAAAAACATAACGATATTTTACACATAACCTTTTTTCGTATGGTATCGCAACTGAAATGGGAATCACGATAGAGCAGTGGTTCCCAACCTTTTTGGTACTATGGACCACTATGAGAACTTTGGATACGTCACGGACCACCTCAATTATATACCTTATTTTTCTTACAAATAAGAATCAATTTTTTTTCACATATTTTAGAATTTTGATTATTATTACATGAATATGAGGCTTTTAATAACATGGATTTCACTATGTAATATAAATTTATAAAGAAACGACGTACTATACACGATTGTCAGTAATTAGTGTTATGCCTCAAAGGAAAATGAAATTATTAAAATATTTTTACATTTTGTAAGTATGGCTCGCGGACCACCTGACAATGTCTCGCGGACCACTAGTGGTCCACGGACCATAGGTTGGGAACCTATGCGATAGAGTAACTACTTATAATATATAAAGACGTACACACTATTAACTTGTTTGATTTGAAACCATATTTATTTTTTTTTTTTTATTGAACTTAAACATCGGAAACTATGGCCATTAGAATTTTGTAGGGGCTTACAGTTAGTTGAGGAACACGGCATGTATGTGGAGCGAGAATTCGTCACTTTCAAGCCAGATGGTCACCCATCCGGAAGCTAGTGACGAAGTTGCCCCAGCACACATTAATGACTGCCACCGCGCCATACCAGGCTCCTTTTAAACAATAAATTGTCCAATAATTTTATGCATAACATAGTTTGTACAATAAATTATTATGCTTAGTAGAAAATATTATTCAAGATTTTTCAGCAAATTAATTAACCTGTTATTACGAGTAAAACAAGTGAACAATATTAATAATGAAGATTCATTTTATAAAAAAAAAATATTAATTAGTTCTTATAGAAAAAAATATCAAACGGGAACTTATTCTATAAGGATTTGTGCTATTTTTAATAAACAAAAATATGAAAACTGGGAAAAACTGGTAAAAACCTAAGAGTGAGGAAATAATCTAAAGGAAATATGTTGAAAATGTTGTCTGATAATAAATAATCGTTTGATCTGTAAAATTGCTTTTACAGGATTTAACAAACATGGAAAAGTTAAACCAAACGAAAACATTATTTGACGATAAGGAATTGTTGGGCCGCGGTTTTGTATTTTGAAAGTTTTAGGTAATTCATTTTAAAAATTAATTTAACTTGAAATCTCAACTAACAATTCTAAAAAAAAATAATCATACCAGCTGTAATATTGTATATTTTTAAGGGTTTTTTTAACGTCAAAATGTAATGTTTTGATTCCATATTCAGAAACATAGTTAAAAGATAACGAATATCGACAACAATTAAGTATATTATCGTTATAATTTGCCTGTCACAATTTAGTTTAATTAATATTTGAATTTTAGTTTTGAAATATGGGCAGCCTATAAATTCTTGAAATTATTTGGGGTTAAAAGAATGATTTTGTAAATACTTTTTTTTATTTTTGTAGTCATACAGTTTATTTAATTTGTGTATAATTATCAGCATAAAATGAGGTCGAGTATTTTTTTAAGTTGGAGGCTTGAGTGGAGAAACAGCCCACTTACCGATACTCTTGTCTGTATATCTACATTATTCAACTTATGGAAACCATCAATATATTTTGTTTACTATATAGTTTTATAAATATTTGAATAAAAGTAAAAAAAATGTGTAGTGGCAGCCTACGAGTTCTCATAATAACTGTTTGACTGTTAATAAAAAATGATCTTATAAATAATTTTTATTTATGCATGCAGCCTATTTAATTTTTATATAATAATAGTATAAACGAGGTGGAGTATTTTTTTAAGTTGAAGGCTTGTGATAATAGAAACCACCACTTACCAATACTCCTGTCTGTATGCATTATTTGACTTGTATAAACCTTTATTTGTTTTATGTTTAATACACATTAATTATATATGTGTAGCAGAACTTTAGAAATTTGAGCAAACCATTAATGTATGTTTAATTGAAATTTTAATCTATTCATTTAAATTATATTATGTTTTTGTATTTTTTGTTTTGTTTTGTTTATTTAAACTATTATATTATAAAATATATATATGTACCTACTATGATGTTTCCACTTGTGTGCAAAAGTGTATTATATGATATTAAATAAATATCAAAACAATTATATGAAACAAAAACACCTCTCATATTACAGTGATAGAGATTTAAAAAATGTTAATTTTATTAATAAAGCATATCGTTATTACTTTTCACTTGCGTAGTAATTCTATTGATTTTACGATACATATTTTTCTCTGGTAAAATTATTTAATATAGATAACTAGAAAATACAAAAAGCTATTAGGGGTAGTTGGTCGGTAAGTTTATATTTTGAATTATTTTTATAACATAATATATTGAAATATATATAACTTCAAAGAAAATATGTGAATTTATCTAACACTAAATGGTATTATTGTTTTTAATACTAAAACGCCTTAACAGATTTGTAGCTATTTATATGCATTAAACGTTTTGAAAATCAGTTAATATGAATAATTGAAAGAAAAAAAAAACACTTTAATATTATATAAATACAATACTGGCACCTATATTATATGATTAGTGAAAATGATAGACTTTTAAACCGCTCAATCATAATATTTATTGGCAATGAGTTTTCATTATTATATAATCGCAGAGAACTTGATAATTAATAATACATTTTGTACCCATATTATAAAGGGCCGTTTAAAGCTAGCGATATAAATCGTAATAGTAATAATATTAATTATGTTTATATTTATATTATGATATTACGTACGTACTTAAGTAAGGAAATTAATGTAACATGCTCATTGCTCATTGCTCAGTGCTCATCCTCATTTTTGTCTTTAATAACTAATTTATTTAATTTCTGATTTTTGTATTTTAAAGTAAACTTAAGTGCCATATTTCAATTATTTAAGATTTTCTATACCATTTAAGCAGTGT